AGTCGGTCTTTTACTGATATTGATTTCTCGATTTGCTCCCCTTCACTTTTCACTTGCTTTTCTTGGATGGTCGACAGTGACCCACGGGGCAGTGAACATTTTCCTATCATTATGAGAGAGGTTGGCTATGGTCGATGACACCCGAGTGCCACGATGGAAGCTGGACCAGGCTGACGGGCCATCTTTCACCTCTCTCTCTGAACTTGATCCTGCCTTCGTCTGTCTGCCATTAATAGATGACTGTGTGGTTGCAGTGACTGACTGTATCATTCAGGCAGATGCTCATTTTATTCCAAAGACTTCGACACGTTTTCCACGGTATCCTCATCCATGGTGGAGTCCTGCCTGCCAGGGGGCACGGAAGACTCAAAGACGGGCCTGGGATTCCTTTCTGATGGTATCCCTCTCTTTCTAACCGCATTGTTTATCAGTGTGCCCATGCTTGGCAGATTCGACATCAAAGCCAAAAGGAGTCTTGGATTAAATTCACTACTAGAATCTCTTCTACCACCAGTTCCAAAACTGTATGGAACACGATTTGGAAAGTCACTGGGAGGTATGCTTCCCATCCTTTCCATCTTGCTCTCCAATGGCCAGGAAGTTGCTGATGTCCAGAGCATTGCTGATGCTCTCGGCCACAGCTTTTCTCGTGTTTCTAGCTCTTCTGTTTCTTCCCCTGCCTTCTTGGCCATCAAATCTCAGGCAGAGCAATCTCCTCTTTCCTTTTGGATCGATCGTCTCTATGATTATAATCGCCCCTTTACACTGGTGGAACTCAAACTTGCTCTTCATCGGTCTGGTAGTACATTAGTTGCACCTGATGATGTTCATTATGAGATGTTGCACCATCTCTCTCCTGCCTCACTTGCTATTCTTCTGGTTATTTTTTAACCAGATCTGGCAGGAACATGTTTTTCCTGATGCTTCCTTTTTCTAAACCTGGGAAGGATACCAAGATTCCTTCTAATTATTGTCCCATTGCTTTGACTAGTTGTCTTTGTAAAGTCCTAGAGAGGGTGGTTAATGCTCGTCTTGTTTGGTTCCTCGAATCGAACACGCTCCTCTCACCCACCCAATGTGGGATCCGTCGACAGCACTCCCCAATGGATCATTTGATTCGACTTGAAAAAAGAAAGAACACCTTGTTTCTGTGTTCTTCGATCTCGAGAAGGGTTATGACACCACATGGAGGTATAGAATTTTGCAGGACCTCCACTCCTATGGGTTGCGTGGCCATCTACCCATTTTTATTCAAAACTTTTTACTGAACAGGCGATTCCAAGTCTGTGTGGGTTCAGCTCTTTCCCGTTCATTTCCACAGGAATTTGGAGTCCCTCAGGGCTGTGTCTTGAGTGTCACACTTTTTAGTGTTAAAATTAATGCCAACACTAATAATCTTCCTCCGACTGGGCTTTATGTCAACAACTTCCACATCTCGTGTCAGTCGTCGAACATGAGGTTTATTGAGCGGCAGCTTCAGACTGCCCTCAATTGGTTGTTGACATGGACCACTGCAAACGGCTTTAAATTTTCTTTTTCCAAAACCGTTTGCATGCATTTTTGCAGCCAACAGGGTCTCCACCCCGATCCTGAGCTCCATCTTGTCAATATAGTTATTCGTGTGGTCCCTGAGGCAAAGTTCTTGGGCTTATCTTTGACCATAAGCTTAGCTTCATTCTGCACATCCAACAGCTACGTGTCAAGTGTGCAAGGGCTATGAACATCCTCCATGTCCTCTCTTCCAGCTCTTGGGGAGTGGATCAATGTTCTATGCTCAGGATCTATTGTGCCCTGATTCAATCGAAATTGGACTATGGGTCTATGGTTCTGCCAGAACCTCGGCCTTGAAGATGCTGGACTCCATTCACCATCTGGGGCTTTGGCTCTGCACTGGTGCTTTTTGCACTTCTCTAGTCCAGAGTTTGTACACTGAGTCCCACGAACCTCCTCTTCACCTCCATCATTTGCAACTTTCTTTACAATATGCTACCAAGCTTCAATCCTTACCACAGCATCCCACCTGGGATTGTGTCTTTCTTCCTCAGTGTGCCATGCTCTTTCAGAACAGATGGTCTGCTATTCCTTCCTTTGGCCTTTGTATCCAGGCACAACTGGTTGAATTGGGTCTGGCATTGGATGACATTGCTGTCCCCAATGATCAGCCCATTCCACCATGGCTTATTACCATCCCTTCCTGTGACCTTTCTGTGATTGGAAGTACCATCTTCTTTTTGCTGAACATCTTTCGAGCCATTCTTCTCTTCCTATTTACACAGATGGTTTGAAATTGAGTGACTCTGTAGGTTCTGCCATGGTGTGCTGTGGCTTGGTAGTTGCTCACAGGATCCCCTCTACAGTTTCTGTGTTCACTTCCGAGTTGTATGCTATTTCTCTTGCCCTGGATCATGTAGAAGCTATGCAGTACAGTAATTGTACTATTTACACTGATTCTCTTAGAGAGAGCTCTCTACTGGCCCTGGAAACGCTTAACGTTAGTTCTCACCCTGTTCTCGTTGATATTCAACACCGATTGGCCCACTTTTCTCTATCTTCTGTTTCCATCCAGTTTTTCTGGATCCCTGGCCATGTCGGTATTCATGGGAACGAGCTCGCTGACACCCCAGCTAAGTCCGTCTGCTCTGGTGCCATCACGGCCATGCCTGTCCCATACATGGACTACGGTCCTGTCTTCAAGGCATGGCTTCGTGCCAGTTGGCAGTCGACTTGGGGTGACCAACGTCATAACAAGCTTTTCCAGATCAAACCTTCTGTTGGTCTTTGGCTGTCTTGCTTCTGTAAGGATTGGAAGGAGAAAGTAGTCCTGGCAAGGCTAAGCATTGATCACAGTTTTTTAACCCTTCATTTTCTTTTATCAGGTATTGACCCACCAATGTGTAGCTATTGTGACACTCAAGTCACAATAGCCCACATTTTACTGTCGTGCCGTCATTACGACAGTGAGTGGTGGTACCATTTTATACACGTGTTTTCTAAGAGTTTACCCCTGACATTGGACAGTGTCATTGATAATGGTGACACTGTCCGATTAGATTGTATTTTTAATTTTTTACACACTATAGGTCTTTTTAATTATATATAAATCTTTTATCAACATATATTGGTTTTAATTCGCTGTATTTTTACATTTTACTTTCACTGTTTTTAGCGGTTGTTTGGCACAGATAACTTCATTGCTTTGTGCCATAAAGCATCAAACAAACAACTAAACATCATCCTTTTAAAATAAAAATATAAAAAACTTGGTGATTGTTTAACCTATTTTTTAAATATAAATAGATGTACTCATGTTGGGATACCAACAATTTTACTCATATTGTGCATCATTTATTCTACAGAAGTTTCTAAAGCAAAGTAAATTGGCCTGGAGTGTAGATGTGGATAACAGTTTGGTCTCTGTGTTGAAGATTTAATCAGGTCATTGGGGAAGCTGTATTCCTAGTTTTAGACAGTTGTTTTGCAGTAAAGTTGTTTTGGATAACTGTGTATAAAGTTTTTTTTACTTTTGTGACTGATGAAATGTTTCTTGCATGATCTAATAAGTATTTGTTGAAACTTAGGATGGCCAGTCAAGAACAATTCGTCAATTTCATTTCACTGATTGGCCAGAACAGGGTGTGCCCAAGTCAGGAGAAGGGTTTATTGAATTCATTGGACAAGTTCACAAGACTAAAGAGCAGTTTGGTCAAGAAGGTCCGATTACCGTTCATTGCAGGTATGAGAACTTTCAAGTATTCCTTAAGACTTACATTGCAGATGTGCAAACTTTCTACTGTTCCTTAAGACTTACATTGCAGGTGTGAAAACTTTCCACTGTTCCTGAAGACTTACATTGCTGGTGTGAAAACTTTCCACTGTTTCTTAAGACTTACATTGCAGGTGTGAAAACTTTTCACTGTTCCTGAAGACTTACATTTCAGAAGTGAGAATTTTCAAGTATTCCTTAAGACTTACATTGCAGATGTGAAAACGTTCCACTGTTCCTGAAGACTTACATTGCAGATGTGAAAACTTTCCACTGTTCCTTAAGTTTTCAACTTTTAAGTATTTCTTAAGGGTGGAAAAGTTTAAAAACATTAATTTCACAAATGATTCACATATCATTGAAATAAATTAGGATTTCTAGGTAATGGAAAAGATTTATAAATTTCAAATATTATCCATACTCAATTTCTGAAAGTAAAAAAGTTTACATTTCTTAAGTGTGCCTGTAATTATAAAATGAATTAAAGATTTTTCAGATGTAAATAACTTTTGAAATAGATTTTGTATTCCTCATTAATCCATGAATTATGAAATTATCTGTTTGTTTTTCTGAAACTAATTTCAACCTACTTGATCAGAAATTGCAGTAAAAAACGTTTTTTATAATTACTTGAATGCAGTGGTGGATTGTCAATTTAAGCATTTTTGTACAACTTACAAACTGTTTAATGATTCAGTGCTGGAGTTGGTCGAACTGGAGTTTTCATCACCCTCAGTATTGTATTGGAAAAGATGCAGTATGAGGGATTTGTGGACCTTTTCCAGACAGTCCGGACTCTGAGGACCCAACGACCAGGAATGGTTCAGACAGAGGTAAGCATGTTTAGTACAGACACATGTTAGTTGACACTCTTAAAGTTGCTAGGCTTTCATTCTTCATAATGTTGCATCTTTCCTGTTATACATTAAGTACAACTGAATCTCTGTGTACTTTCAGAATTATGTGCCATTATTGGCACTTCTGAAAATCACATTTGTTCAAAAATCAGTAAATTCTACTAGAATTTCTGTTTTTGTATGATTTGCAGATGTGTAGACATATCTATAGCCTAATTATAAATCTTTCCATATAGGGTTGTTAGTAGTAATCTTGGTTTTAAGGTAATAGCATTATTTAATTTCATAATTGTGTACTGTACCACTGTAACTAAGCTTATTGTTAATGAAACATTTCTCTCATATGAATTCAAATGGTACACTGACTTAAAAAAATATAACAGGGTTAATAACTTTGGTATTCCATGGCAATTTTGTGAACATTTGCTTTTCATACTTACTTGCAGCCAACCAATAGTTTTAGGTATCATCTGAAAGAAACTAGTCTACTTTATGAAGTTCTCTTGGATGTAGTAGTTTATAATCCTATTAACGCATTACTGTGTAGTAGTTTGTGATATGCTAACAAACAGTTTATTACTCTGTTTCCATATTACCATGTAACTATTTTTCTTTCAAAATATTACTATGCAGGAATTTATTGAATAACGTTTAATGAATCTGTTAACATACTACTATGTAGCTGTTTATGATTCTATCAACATGCTACCATGTACCTGTTTATGATTCTATTAACACTTGATGTACTAGTTTGATTCTGTTAACATGCTACCATTTATCAGTTTGTGACTTTAAGATATACCAGTTTATGATTGTTCATATGTTACCATTTACCAGTTTATGATTCTGTAAACATTTTTGTGTACCAGTTTATAATTCTATTAACATGCTATCATTTATCAGTTTATGAGTTTGTTAAGATGTACCAATTTATGATTCTGTTAAAACATTAATATATAAAAGCTTATGATTTTTTATGCATCTTACTATGTAGTAGTTGCAGAAGGCTTTCATTTGTTTTTATTTATTTTTTACAATACAGGACCAGTACCAGTTTTGCTACAGAGCAGCATTAGAATACCTTGGCTCATTTGATCACTATGCAAATTAGCCTTCACATCAGTTTGGCCAGTGAGTGTTGTGTCTATGTACTCGTACTTGAGACTTGCTGAAAAATGTTGTTCTCCTAATCTTACCACTGTCAACAGTTAGTGTTGTGTTAATATACTCGCACTGAGACTTGCTGAAGAATATCATTCTCCTAAGCTTGCCACTGTCAACAGTTAGTATTGTGTTAATATACTCGCACTGAGACTTGCTGAAGAAAATTGTTGTCCTAACCTTACCACTGTCAACGATTAAAGTGTTGTGTGTCTGTGTATTCACACTCGAGACTTGCTGAAGAATATCATTCTCCTACTCTTACCACACTGTCAACAGTTAGTGTTGTGTTAACATACTCACTCCAGACTTGCTGAAGAAAGAGGGTTCTCCTAATATTACCATTGTCGACAGTTAGTGTTCTGTTAATATACCCACACTTGAGACTTGCTGCAGAACAAAGTTCTGCTAACCTTAGCACTTTCAACAATAAAAGTGTTGTGTTAATATACTCACACATGAGACTTGCTGAAAATATTGTTCTTCTAATCTTACTGCTTTCAACAATAAAAGTGTTGTGTTAATATACTCACACATGAAACTTGCTGAAAATATTGTTCTTCTAATCTTACTGCTTTCAACAATAAGGGTTGGGTCTAGTTACTTACACATGAGACTTACTGGAGAATATCGTTCTCCTAATCTTACCATTGTCTACAAGTAAAGTGTCATGTCAATATACTCCCCTTGTGTGCACAAATACTTGAATCTTGCTGAAGAATGTCATTCTCCTAATATGGCCATTGGTCATCTAAAGTTGCCTCTAGCAAAAGAAAGAAATGTGAACTAAAACTTAGTGAAATAAACTTCAAATCGTTTCACTTTTTGGCCTCAGGTTCATTAGAGAGCATGTGTTCTGTTAATGTATGTTGTAGTCTCACTGCTTTTGCTCTTTCTTATCATTGAAATGAAACAACAAAAGTGGTGATCTGGTTCAAGTCTCAAGGCACTCACTGCCATTGTTCATTATACCATGCTCAAGACTCAGACGTTGCCTTGTGGTGTGTTGTGGTGGAAGTGTCTATAGCTGCTGTGATGGTTGCCACTTTAGTCAAAGCTGCTCCTTTTTTCAACTAGTGTTACGAATTACTAAAAATGCTTAATTGGTGACCTCTAGTTTCTGTGTTGTTCTCTACTGTTTGACATCAAACAACATTCCTGGGAAATTGGAAATGAGATTATTGTCCTCAAACTAGCATAATATATTTGGAAATTGCTATATTGTAAACAAGGTGTATTTCAGTGAGCTTGTTTACAAAACTTATGTGATGTTTACTTAAACAATTAAATGTAATACTTGTCTTTTTTTTTTTTTGGTCTTTGCGTTTTTATTAAGTATTATTGCAGAAACAAGATTTTGAACATTATCTATAGTAGTTTTCTTGAACTAGACACACTCTTCCAGTTCCTTAGGTGTTCAGATTGTTATAAAACCTGCAGTTCAGATAAACCTCAAATACTTCTGGAAATACTCCAATAGTAACTACAGTCACTGGGTTTATGTTGATGGAAGGTAAGGCACCTCCACACTTTTGGTAAATCTATTATTTTTGAAAACTCGCATAGTTTATGATGATGCATACCTTTCAATATTTTTGTATTTGTACATTAATATTTGAATTCCCTGTGGTAAGTGACTTTATGTACTATTTTGTTACCACACACTCTGGTATAAGCATGCCACTTAAAAACGAAAGGTATAATGATTTCATTGTGTAACTGGTTATTCAGTATATAGGTTCCAGTATTTTTCATTGTTGGAAAGTTTGCCCACCCCCCTCTGTGCCATCAGAATCATGTGATTACAATGATGAGCAAGAATAGTTGTATACATTAAAGCATTTCAGTATAATTTCTTACAATACCATGTTTGCCGAGCTTATACAAGTTTTTTGGTGTAGATGATCTGTGACATTTTTTTTTAAAGGCATAAAATGTATCAGCTAAAGTATGTCAATTATATCATGATAATCCATAATTCAATAGAGTAGAGGTAAATATTTATTAATCAATTTCCAACATCATCTAATATGGAAGCACCTTCATTTAACATTTTTTAAACAGGTAAGGGAGAATTTTGTGTTTACAAGTTAAAGAACCTGTTGATTTTTATTTCATTGAAATGAATAACTGTGTAATATTATACTAAAATTAACATGATTCATTTGGAAATAGTTGTCCATTGCTTAGATTTATTGTTTATTTCACAATTTTAGAGTTAAAAAGCTGAATGTTTGTCAAAGTTTCCATTCCCACAGTTTTTAGACAGAAAACCTGCATGGGATAATTACTAGTCCTTTTCTGTTTTTATGGGACAGGCTACTTGGAAGAGCTAAAACAGATTTTTACTTTTTGTTAATACATCTCCAATGCAGACAACACAGAAGCTACAAGTGGTAGTCTCAGTGGTTTTTTGGTTCCTTTGTTTTTATTAATTCTCTGTAAACAGTGTGAGTTGTTTGTTATTATTTAAAAAATATCTTTCAACCTCTAGAGTAATGTTTTGAAACAGACATTCTCAAGTTTAAAGATTCTTGTATTTTGTTGTTTAGCTGTCAATATGATAATACATTCCATTTTTTTTACCAACTGTTTTGTTCCATATAAACCAAAAGACTTGGCATTTGGTAAAAGTAGACACCTAAAGCAACAGTATACAATAACAAGTGTAAATATTTAGGACAGATTAGCATTAAGTAAACAATTGGCTACTTGTAGATTCGATCAATTAGCACCTTCTAAGATTTTTGAAACTCTTTAAAAATTATTTCAGGAAAACTTACATCACATCACCATAAAATGAGAAGTACATGATATTGTCAACAGTGATAAAGGAAAACAAAGATAGTAGAGTGCCTTTTATTGATTAACAATGTTTAATAATATGTTGTGGATGATATTTTAAAGGCAAGTTAATGAGACCATTATTTAAACAAAATAATCCTGATTATACTACTCTAGCTATCGAAGGTTAAGTTTAATAAGGAACTCTGTAAAGTTATTAACATTATCCAACTCTAGACTTGAAAAAGAAAATTATGTATCTCCAACCATATGTCTAAAACAGATTCTGATTAAAGTCTCAGTACACTTGATTTATTTCTTGTGGCGTGTTTCTGTTACTTCTGTATAAACACAACTGATCTATGAGTAGCCACATATATCTCCATGTCTTAGTCACTAAAGTAACTCAGGAAGTTGGCTAGGTTACTTTCTAATTCTAGAAATAAATGGCTTTATAACACCAAATTTAGTTTTTGTTTTTGAATATTTTTTTTAACTTAACACTCTTTTATTCTACAAGTTTTGGATGTATTCTTGGGAAAATAATATTTTCTGGATATAAAAGCCAAGTTGACAGACGGATTGACATTTCCTTAACTACACAACGAAGTAGAAGGTGGACAATTAGCCTCACGTGCTTAATGTCGACAAGCCTACCTTTCTTCTTCAGAAACGACTTGAGAAGGCCCATCTTTCGAAAGCACTCAGGTTTCGTATTTAATGATTCATCTAACGTGTTTATCTTATGTGTGTGCTGGAAATAAAATGATTTTGGGGTTTTTATAGCAATGTTATGTTCATGTTTGTTGACGTTAAGCTTGGATTAGCATTATGACCGGATACTATCCACAGCTTCACATTTGTGAGCGTTAGGCCTAGATTAACATCGTGACCGGGTTCCATCCACTGCATACTTAATTGTTTGTTTTTGGAATTTCGCGCAAAGCTACACGAGGGATATCTGCGCCAGCCGTCCCTAATTTAGCAGTGTAAGATTATAGGGAAGGCAGCTAGTCATCACCACCCACCGCCAACTCTTGGACTACTCTTTTACCAACGAATAGTGGGATTGACCGTAAATTATAACGCCCCCACGGCTGAAAGGGTGAGTATGTTTGGTGGGACGGGGATTCGAACCCGCGACCCTCAGATTGTGAGTCGAGTGCCTTAACGACCTGGCCATGCCGGGCCACTGCATACTTAGAATAAGAAAAACACAGAGCTTTCCGCCATTAAAATTTCCCGTACTTATGTTAAAATTGCTACCTTTTTCAGTGAATTTTGTTGCATTACAATATTTTAAACCTTACTGTTTATTGTTCGATAACAAACGAAAAGTTATAAATGTATTTAAAAAATTCTGCAGTCAGTTACTACGATATATACTTTTAATACTTGTAGGTTATAGCTATAGTCATTATAGTTCCGAAAGCGTGTCACGTGGTGTGCTCCATCTCACAGTTACATGATATAATTATACTCAAAATAAATTACAATGATTCAATTATCAAAAAGTTTGGTATGTGTCCACTGCGGGGATAAACCCCGAATTTAAGCGTTATAAGCCCTCACAATTACCGTTGAGCTACCGTAGACAAAACATCGTTTGGTTTGTTGTTAAGCAAAAAGCTGAGCAATGGCCTATCTCTGATGTTCCCACTGCAGTGATCGAACCCCTAATTTTAGTATTACAAACCGTAAGCTTACCACTTAGACATTGGAGGGGCCATTATCAAAAGGGAACATTTGTATTATACCCTAGATAATTTTGTAAAGCACAACTATATGCTATTTGTTTAACAATGTAGCTGTTTACCAAAAACATAGCACACGATTCCCAAAAATCACCGTGCAAGCTAAAAATATTTGAATATTTTAAAAACATATATATATATATCAGGTTATCAGGTTTCACTTGTATTGAAGTTGTGATAGTAACGTAAATACTCTTGATGTAGAAGTGGGATGATAAACCTTTCTGGGGAAGGAAAGTTCTTTTTTTCTCTTTTAAAACATTATCCCATACAAAATGAGCACGCTTCTGATAATGATTAAAAGTTATTAAAACTAAACCAATAAATAAAACACCACGACGCAACTGCTTCTTTGAACTTTCTGTAAACACCATAAAAATTATAAATATAATTTCCAAATTTATAAACGTGTTAGACGATGCAAGATAACTTTTCTCCTTTTTTTTTCATAAAGCTATTAAAGAAATCATTGTCAACGCAACAAAAACTATCAACTTTTTATTAGAATCCACTTATTACGTTACATGCAAATAAACACTAGTTTTAACTTAAATTTTGACTACTTATCAATAACCAGAAAACTGGTGTTAAGACATTTTATTTGACAGAAATATAAATATGAAGTTTACCTACACATCTAAAAAGTTTACAAAAAGTAAAGTTTTAATGATGATATGATTTGGATAAAACTTTAAAACAATTTTGCCACGTTGTCCTTGGTATTGCTAGACCAGATAAGCTGAAAATAGTAATAAAAAGCTCCCTCTATTGTATCAAACTTTTTATGTAAGTGTCCATGACAATCGCTGAATGTTTATATATATGTTTATCATCTGGAGCATGTATTTTTTTATTTAAAATACCTCTCTGTGATTAATATGGTTGTGTCGAAAGGTGGCAGCAGTTTGTGGTACTGTTATTAATCTGAATTAACTTAGCGCCTTCTTTTTAGAAGTGTGTCAGTTTTTCTTGTACGTAATTACTAATTTTTCTAGTAAAATTCTACTTGTTCTTCAGACACCAACACCAGCAACAAAGAAAGCTACAAAAATTCTGGAACGCCCTCTTTAGTAAGAACAAAGAAACCTCTATAACCGTGATGACGCTAGCTCCTAGTAAAAGTCCCATCGATCCTCCAATTTTACCTAAAAAAAAGTATAGAAATAACACTAATATTGGCCCTCACTTTTTCAGTGAAATTTTATTTGTCGTAATATATATATATTACTAATGATCTACTTTACATATAATTTTTCAGGTTTCAATAAAATTTTGGGGAACGTAATAAATTAGTTTATATATATATATTTATATACTAATTGGAGTACCCGTCCCCTGGACGGAAGTCATGTAAGTTCATGATTAATGAACTCTTAGGACATGAAAAGTTGCTTCCCTTATATGTAATTGTACAAAACGCACATAAAAACGGCAAAATGCAAAACTGAAAATCTGTATCCCCCTGGACCCAACAAACTTTCATGCCAAATTTGGTGAAGATCCATCAACAGGGAGCAAAGAAATGGAAAAAACGCTCATAAAAACTGAAAATTTGTATGTATTTCCCCATGGACCTATTGAACCTCCATACCAAATCTGGTGAAGATCCATCTACACCATGTAGTTATATGGACATATAATAGTCAGTACTATATATATATATATATTACCCAAAACATCGATTCGTTAACAGGAAATTCATTAAGTTACTTTTAACAAATTCAGTATTATTGCTTTTAAATTTCTATTCAGTGATTGCATATTAGTATTCATTGTAGGAATAATACTTAAAAATTTCCTTTAAAATTTCAAACTTACAATGAAAAAGCAAACTACGAAGTATTTTCACACAATAATTATATCCTGAATATACTTTCAAAGTTTTAATTTGTTGATGTACTTACTAAAAACTTCGCTGACTCCATCATAGTGATATTTAACCTGAATGTACCTCAGATCCTTGTATTTAAGTTTTAACCTCATGGCCTCAGACCTGAAATATAGAAGAAGACCGGAATATAAAAATTACGTAGCCTCATATATATTAACACCATGCAGCTTTGAATATGTTGAGTATAAACCAGGAAATGGGGATATTTTACTTTCAGACTCCTGTCCACGTGGGGGTGGGGCAATAACTTTGTGCTTAATTACAAACAAACAACCACGTATGGAGGAAGGCTTTCCCCAGAAAAGTTTGAAATTTGATGTGCAAAGTGACTTAAGTACACATTTTTTGAAGGAATTGTTATTTATCATATAAAAATAAGGTGGACCTGTATTTTTATAAGGTATATTAACATAACGGAAGTTAACTAATAATGTATTAGTTTAATTATTATCTGTAGTACATTGTGTGAATTAAACGGTCAAAAAAGAAACGTACTATAGCCTACTAGAAACTTGCTGTCGGAATCAGAGACGTTGAAAAACTGAACTTTTATATTCCCCAACCCCACCAACCTTTTTTCGTGCATTTGACTTATGCGAATTGAAATATAGGTAGAGACCATCTAAAGAAAGTGACACGGCCACACGCTGCAACACTTAGGCCCATTGTCTTTCTACAAGCTTATCATGCAGAACTTTTGTATACAGGGGCGTTCAACAGAGTTTGTTTTGAATTTAGCGCCAAGCTACACGAGGGATATCTGCGCTAGCCGTCCCCAATTTAGCAGTGCAAGACTAGAGGGAAAGCAGCTAGTCATCACCACCCACCGCCAACTCTTGGGCTACTCTTTTACCAACGAACAGTGGGATGTTGACCGTACATTATAACGCCCCCATGACTGAAAGGGCGAGCATGTTTGGTGTGACGGGGATTCGAACTCGCGACCCGCAGATTGGAGTCGAGTGCCCTAACCACCTGGTCATGCCGGGCCGTTCAAGAGAGTTCCTTTGAAGACACGTAGTAGTCACCCCTATATTTCCAATGCCATATGTTTTTTGAACATTTGAAAAAAAAAAAAATGTGGGCGAGTGGAAACTCCTACAGAAAAAGGTTTGGTTTGTATACAGGCCAAACTCGTTAAATCTTTCGACACGGGGTCGGTCGATTTGACCGAGTCACGTGACCTTCTGTACTAGTTTAAAGTTCACATCAATTTAATACTTATAACTCTCTATATATTGGGTATATTTTCACGAAATTTGGCAGTCTTTCAGTTAATATTACAAGTCTTTCACATACAAAAAGTCATATTCCTTAGTGAAGTACTTTTAATAAAATAAAGATTTGTCCATGAATATATTGAGTATTTGTTTTGAATAGTCCATGTGCAAAGTAATTTTCATGTTAAAATTAAAAATACTTTTCGTCATCTCAAATTTCCTTTGTGTAATCCCTAAAACCTGCTAAATGCATTTCAAACGTTTTTTGTTTTTTTTTTACTAAATCCTTATAGTTTATGTTATTTTCTCTACCCTAACATCAAAACTGGATCGGTCAATTCGACCGACATT